GAGCACTTTGGTGGAGAGCGACTAATTAAGAAATAAAGTGATGATGATGATGATGATGATGATGATGATGGTATTGACGTTGCTCCAGGCTCCAAACGCAGAAGGAGTTGGGTGTCGTCTGCATATTGATAACATATTGATTGTTGTTGTTCATTCGTTCAGTCGTCTCCGACTCTTCGTGACCTCATGGACCAGCCCACGCCAGAGCTCCCTGTCGGCCGTTACCACCCCCAGCTCCCTCAAGGTCAGTCCAGTCACTTCAAGGATGCCATCCATCCATCTTGCCCTTGGTCGGCCCCTCTTCCTTTTGCCTTCCACTTTCCCCAGCATAATTGTCTTCCCTAGGCTTTCCTGTCTCCTCATGATGTGGCCAAAGTACTTCAACTTTGTCTCTAGTATCTTTCCCTCCAGTGAGCAGTCGGGCTTTATTTCCTGGAGGATACATGCTATCAATAGTTGAAACTTTCACACCTAGCTCCAGCAGACAAGAGTCCTTTGTCCCACCCTGGTCATTCCACAATTTTCCTAGTTCCAACAGACCTCACTACCTCTGAGGATGCTTGCCATAGATGCAGGCGAAACGTCAGGAGAAAATGCCTCCAGAACATGGCCATATAGCCCGAAAAAACCTTCAACAACCCATTTAACATGATTTGTTCAGTAGGGTGGCGTTTAGAGAGCCTCGCACCCTTCCAGTTTCCACAGCTCAGAGTCTCGCAGTGTGGACGCGCCCTAATTCCACAACCGAAGCTGGCTTCCCCCCCAAGCAACACCGCCCCAATACCTCGGATGTAGGTGCACTTGCTCTCGTCCAGGAGGCTGGAGCCGGAGCCACCCATGGTGCTGGAGGGAGAAGATGCTCAGTGCTGTATCCCCTCCTGAGCCCAAAAGCTGCTGCTGCTGCTGCTACTACTGCTCCGACGTTTCCCCTGGCTCGCTGTGTCTGCCTTGCCTTGCCTTGCCTTGCCTTGTGCAGCCCCAGCAGAGCTGCCTCCGCCCTCCCAGGCCCCGCCTCCAAGGGGGAAGCCCCCAGAGCCAAAAGGGGAAGGCTCCCAACTTTCTGTCTTGGACACACTGAATGAACAAGACCGCGCTAGCCTCCAATGCTCATTACTATTGGAGGGAAGCAAAGCATCATTTGGATCTCCAAAGGAAGCCAGGCATCTATTCAGAACTAGGGCATCTATCAGGTGTTGCCCAGGTGTCCCTTGCTCCCTGCCTCCCTCCCTCTCTCCCTTTCTTTCTTTCTTTCTTTCTTTCTTTCTTTCTTTCTTTCTTTCTTTCTTTCTTTCTTTCTTTCTTGTTACACCCAAGATTATGGCAACAAGAACGATTGACAACTGGGAAATAGAGGGAGAAAATGTGGAGGCCGTGACAGACTTTGTATTTCTAGGCGCAAAGATTACTGCAGATGCAGACTGTGGCCAGGAAATCAGAAGACGCTTACTTCTTGGGAGGAGAGCAATGTCCAGTCTCGATAAAATAGTAAAGGGTAGAGACATCACACTGGCAACAAAGATCCATAGTCAAAGCCATGGTATTCACTGTAGTAACCTACGGATGTGAGAGCTGGACCTTAGGGAAGGCTGAGCGAAGGAAGATAGATGCTTTTGAACTGTGGTGTTGGAGGAAAGTTCTGAGAGTGCCTTGGACTGCGAGAAGATCCAACCAGTCCATACTTCAGGAAATAAAGCCCGACTGCTCACTGGAGGGAAGGATAGTAGAGGCAAAGATGAAGTACTTTGGCCACATCATGAGAAGAAAGGAAAGCTTAGAGAAGACAATTAGGCTGGGGAAAGGGAAGGAAAAAGGAAGAGGGGCCGACCAAGGGCAAGATGGATGGATGGCATCCTTGAAGTGACTGGACTGACCTTGAAGGAGCTGGGGTGGTGACGGCCGACAGGGAGCTCTGGCGTGGGCTGGTCCATGAGGTCACGAAGAGTCGGACACGACTGAACGAATGAACAACAACAATTATTATTATTAATTATTAATTATTTCTCTTCACTCCTTTTTCTTTCTTCCCCCCCCCCCCTTTCCCCCTTTTCCTGAAACCCCAGGTTTTGGCAGTGGCCAGGTGTCACGTTGCCAGGGCTCTGCCTTATTCAGAGGCAGAGATGAACCAAACAAAAACCCAGTTTGTATAAAACAATTCAATTAAAACAGCACTTACTTTCTGGCTGTTTTAATAGTCCAAAATATAAAACCAAGATAATAATAATCTATATAAATAAAAATGTAATGTTCGTTTGTGGGATGAACAGAACTCAAAAACCACTGGACGAATTGACACCAAATTTGGACACAAGACACCTCTCAGACCAATGAGTGACCAGCACTCATAAAAACACTGAAAAACAGTGGAAGAGCCGTAAAAATCCGAAAAACAAGAAAATACATTACAATGCACACGCAAAACCACATATATATATACACAAACACACATATATACACACATATGCATACACACACACACAAAACACATACACAGAAAGGAGGGAGGGAGGAGAGAAGGAGGGAAGGAGAGAAGGAAGGAAAGAAAGAAGGGTAGAGAAAGAAGGAGAGAAGGAGGAAGAGAAGAAGGGAAAGAAGAAGGGAAGGAGGGAAAGAAGGAAAGAAAGAAAGGAAGGTAGAGAAGAAGGAGGGAGAGAAGGAGGGAAGGAGAAGAAGGAAAAAAGAAGAGTAGAGAAGGAAGGAAGGAGAGAAGGAGGGAGAGAAAGAGGAAAGGAAAGAAAGAAAGAAGGGTAGAAAAGGAAGGAAGGAGAGTAGGAGGGAGAGAAAGAGGGAAGGAAAGAAGGAAGGAAAGAAAGAAGGGTAGAGAAGGAAGGAAGGAGAGGAGGGAAAGAAGGAGGAAAGGAGATAAGGAAAGAAAGAAGGGTAGAGAAGGGAGGGAGAGAAGGAGGGAGAGAAAGGAGGAGAAAGAGGGAAAGCGGGAGGGAAGGAGAGAGAAAAGAAAGGTAGAGAAGGAAGGAAGGAAGGAGAGAAGGAGGGAGAGAATGAAGTAAAAAAGTGAAAGAGGGAAGGAAGGAATGAAAGAGAGAAAGAGAGAGGGATGGAAGGAAGGAAAGAGACAAGGAAGGATGGAACCAAAAAGCAAAGGAAGCAAGAAAAGAAACAGGTAGAGAAGGAAGAAAGAAGAAGGGAAAGAAAAAGAGGGAAGGAAGGGAAGAGGGAGGGAAGGTTGGCCACAGCAATGTGTGGCGGGTACAGCTAGTCTATATAAATAAAAATGTAATGTTCGTTTATGGGATTAACAGAACTAAAAAAACCACTGGACGAATTGACACCAAATATGGACAGCATACACCTAACAACCCAATGTACGTCCTTCACTCAAAAAAAAATTGATTTTGTCATTTGGGAGTTGCTGCTGCTGGGATTTATAGTTCACCTATAATCAAAGAGCATTCTGAACTCCAGCAACGATGGAATTGAACAAAACGTGGCATACAGGGCTCTCATAAACAACAGAAAATACTAGAAGGGTTTGGTGGGCATTGTCCTTGACTTTGGGAGTTAAAGTTCACCTCCATCCAGAGAGCACTGTGGACCGAAACGATGGGTCTGGACCAAACTTGGCACGAGTATTCCATATGCCCAAATATAAACACAGATGGAGTTTGGGGAAATAGACCTTGACATTTGGGAGATGTAGTTACTGGGATTTATAGTACACCTACAATCAAAGAGCATTCTGAACCCCACCAATTACAGAATTGGGGCAAACTTCCTGCCTGTGGAACTAGCTTCCCTCTGAGATAAGATCAGCTTCATTCCTCCTGTCTTTTTGGAAAAAATTGAAGTTGCGGTTCTGGGACCAGGCTTTCGGACAGCAGGCATAATTATCACTTTGGATGTGGAATTCGACTTGAATGATGATATGGCTTTTAATACTGTGTTTTTGCTATTTTAACTGTTGTATTGCTTTTAATGAATGTTCTATTTATTCCTTAATTGTTATTATATTGCTTTGTTATATGTAGTGGTATCAAATTGCTGCCAGTGTAAGCAGTCCTGAGTCCCCCTTTGGGGGTTGAGAAGAAACAGGGTAAATACCGGAAATAAATAAATAAAGTAATAAATATTTTTATCCAGCTTTTCTTCATATTATTTATTTATTTATTTATTTATTTATTTACTCCTTTTGTATACCGCCTATATCAGCCAAAAAAGGCGACTCTAAGCGGTTTACAGTAAAATGTGCAACATTGAACAATACATGTGACAAACATCCACAAACAGTACACATAACGTCATCACGCCTCGAATAGAATCAGATCCAGTCTCTCTTATGAATTTACATTCAATTCCACTTGATACATATTAAAACAATAACTATTTTATTTTTTACCTGCCTCTCTTCGTGGCTTGAGGTGGGTTACACAATTAATACACATAATAATAATAATAATTTATTTTAAAAGAATCATAGAGTTGGAAGAGACCTTGTGGGCCATCCAGTCCAACCTCCTGCCAAGAAGCTGGAAAATCGCATTCAAAACACCCATGACAGATGGTCATCCAGCCTCTGCATAAAAGCTGCCACCACACTCCGGGGCAGAGACTTCCACTGCTGAACAGCTCTCACACTTAGGAAGTTCTTCCTAACGTTCAGGTGGAATCTCCTTTCCTGTAGTTTGAAGCCATTGCTCTACATCCTAGGGCCCTTCCACACAGCCCTATATCCCAGAATATCAAGGCAGAAAATCCCACAATATCTCCTTTGAACTGGTTTATCTGAGTTCAAGAAAGCTTCCAAGGAAGGAGCTTCCACCACACTTCAATGCAGCTTGTAAGGTCAGGAAGTTCTTCCTCATGTTCAGATGGAATCTCCTTGAAGCCATTGTTCTAGTCTCCAGCAGAAAACAAGCTTGCTCCTTCCTCCCTTTGACTTTCACATATTTATACATGGCTATCATATCTCCTCTCAGCCTTCTCTTCTTCAGGCTAAATATGCCCAGCTCTTTAAGCCGCTCCTCATAGGGCTTGTTCCCAGACCCTTGATCATTTTAGTCTCCTTCCTCTAGACACATTCCAGCTTGTCAATATATCTCCCTTCAATTGTGGTGCCCAGAATTGGACACAGTGTTATTCCAGGTGTGGTCTGACCAAGGCAGACTAGAGGGGTAGCATGACTTCCCTCGATCTAGATACTATGCTCCTATTGTTGCAGGCCAAAATCCCTTTGGCTTTTTTTGCTGCCACATAACATTGTCGGCTCATGTTTAACTTGTTGTCCACGAGGACCCCAAGATCTTTTTCACATGTACTGCTCCCGAGCCAGGCATCGTCCCCCATTCTGTATCTTTGCAATTCGTTTTTTCTGCCTAAGTGGAGGATCTTGCATTTGTCCCTGTTGAACTTCATTTTGTTAGTTTTGGCCCATCTCTAGAAGATCTCAATAAGGAAACAGCAGCTCTTCATAACTGATATCATTATTTCTTCAAAAGACTATAATTAGTATTGTGAACACAACATACATATGTTTATTGTAGACTTTTGCTTATTGTATCTTGTTGTTGTTGTTGTTCATTCGTTCAGTCGTCTCCGACTCTTCGTGACCTCATGGACCAGCCCACGCCAGAGCTCCCTGTCGGCCGTTACCACCCCCAGCTCCCTCAAGGGCAGTCCAGTCACTTCAAGGATGCCATCCATCCATCTTGCCCTTGGTCGGCCCCTCTTCCTTTTGCCTTCCACTTTCCCCAGCATAATTGTCTTCTCTAGGCTTTCCTGTCTCCTCATGATGTGGCCAAAGGACTTCAACTTTGTCTCTAGTACCCTTGTGTTAGGCTGTCGGGCTTTATTTCCTGGAGGATGGACTAGTTGGATCTTCTCGCAGTCCAAGGCACTCTCAGAACTTTCCTCCAACACCACAGTTCAAAAGCATCTATCTTCCTTCGCTCAGCCTTCCCTAAGGTCCAGCTCTCACATCCGTAGGTTACTACAGGGAATACCATGG